TAGTTGCTTTCATCTTTCCTCGTGCTTTTTCTTATTTGGTGGTGGTTGACTCTTTAATTGGCATAAACATAATTCTTCCAAACAGCTACAGTCAGTAACCATTGCCTCTTCTTCAATGCACCAAACTGTCATATAAAATGTTTTTTTTCTGCTTTGATATCTGCAAATAATACTTGTTACCCAAGTAAACAATAGTGACTTGTCTCTCCTGGACTTGGCTCAGCTTTATGGTTTAATTAAGAACTTGCATTTAAGAGGAAATTTGATACTGTCAAAAGCTGACAAATGTGCAAAGTCTTTGGACGACAGTAGTAGCATTCAAGATGGTCATGATAAACTGTGAAAAGAAATTTGCAAAGTAAAGCCAATACAGATAAACATAAAGTGCTATGTCTAGGGAGAGGGAAGAATGAAATAAAAAAGAACAAATATGAAAAAGGGATTAAATAGCTGGTGATAATTATACAAAAAAAGAAGGCAGGAGGTGACTTTGTATCATATCTATTGTACCTTAATAAGACAATAACATTTATGTCTATACTATGTAGTCAGGAGAAATTCTATGGATTCTGGTATATATGCCTGCCACCTGTAAACCCACATTAGGATGGGACCCACATGCACACAAGCATCTACATCCCAAGAGTCCTGCCTCCATACGTAGGCAGTGTGTCTGTGCCACACTGCTCTTTGAGGAATGGTGATGTCGAGACCCTGTTGTATCCTACAGCAAGCACTCATCAAATACAAAATCTTCCAGCATCCATTGTGCAACTACTGCCAAAGAAGAAAGAAAATCCTGTTCAGGAATATACTGATTGGAGTATTGTACCCATGAAAGGGCAGTTAATTATTTATGTCCTATTAGTATTTAAGTTTTATCAGCCCAAACTTCATCTTCAAGAAAAACTGGCAAGAGTCTATAAAACAGTATCAAGATGCAAAAGATGTTAGATAGCTGTCCTGTGATGATGGGGATGGGGTTTGCTTAGTCTAAAATAGGAAAAAGTAAAGAGAGACATAATTACATTATCTTCTAATGTGTAAAAGATGCTATGAAGATGGTGGTGGTTAACTGATCTAAATCACTCACTGATGGAAAGATGTGAAATATCTTCCTTCACAATTTCTGAGGGAAAACAATTACTCTAAGAACCAAAAGATAATGGAATGGACTTCCTAGAGAGACTGTGGACTCTAGCGTATAGGGTTTAGGACAACACATGCCACTGTGTAGGTCTTGCCCCTCTACAACAGGATATACTAACAAAGTCTCTTCAGCTCAATAAATGAAAAAAAAAAGACAGTGTCATACAGTACCAAGATATTGTATTACCTGGCACTAGGATTGCATTATTTGTCTTCCAGGCAAGAAGACAATACAGTGTCACATGGAGCAGTGGTTTTATGGATGTTTCTGATCACTGCATAACAGAAAAGCAGTGATGGAAAGGACCTCACAGTACCTTTTGCTCCAACCCTTTAAACTGAAGAAGGTTCAAATAGCTCCGCTTCTTCAGAATTGATGCAATGTGTTATTTGCAATTCTAGATTGATTCATTCTTACAATTTGGACTTTACTGTAAATTCATTTTTGTTCTTCAATCAAAAACAAAGTAAATCTTTATTTAGCTTTGAGAGTAAGTCACATTTCCGGGAAAGCTACCTTATTATAGTAAAAATTAACCTTGGTCTTGCATTTCTGATGTTTTCATAACTTCATTAAAAATATTTCAAATATTTAATTTTGACATGATTTTTTAACACTTCCCTGCCAATAAAAGGCCAATTGTTTAAATGATTTTTTTCAACTTTATAAAATATTTTTGTCAGGTATTTTGTTAGTAGAAAAAAATTGAAATGAGGAATTTCAATTTCAATGAGACAGTAAAATCAGAGAAGTTTTTTATTTTTTTTTTTTTTTACCACTTTATTTTGTCTAGATTGTACCACTGAAGATCATGGAAATAAAATCCTTTAAACTTATCAGAAAACAAAGGTAAAGATGCCTCCAGCATCTGCTGGTAGTTGAATACTATGTTGAAGGATTTGATTTTATGAGGATTTCTGTGAGATAAGTAAGGATTTGAATTTACATCAGGTTACTCTGAAGAAACTGTCTTTTTGTGTGTGCTTCCCCTAAGCGAAATGAAGGAAAGGTGGTTTATTGCAATCATCATCATAAGCAACTTTTCTTATAATTATCATGGCCTGTGAATGTTTAGAGGAGCTGTTTTAAGACAATTCCTGCCCCAAAACTGATATTATAGATGCACACTCTGGCTTGTTTTGCAATGAACCCTTTATGTAACCATGATTTAAAAATAGAAGTTTGTCTATAGGGACCATCTCTGAATTAAACTAGTGGAGCAACAGCACCATTTCTGATGCTGTTGAGAGCCCTTGGTGCTTTTTGCTGTCAAAGTATAGAGTAGTGCTCTCCGGAGAAGTGGCCTGTGTTTGTGTGTGCGTAAGAGAGAGAGAAACATAGAAAAACAGAGAAAGAGCAAAAAAGAGAGATGAAGACAGGGAGAAAGTAAGAAAAAGGAAAAGAAAAAGAAAGAGAAAGAAGGAAAAAATTAAAGAGATAAAGGAGAGGAAGGAAGAATAAAAGAAAAAAGGAAGGAAAGAAAGGAAGAAGGAAAAAATGAAGAAGGATAGAGAAGATAAATAAAAAAAGGAGAAAAAAAGAAAAAGGTAAATAAACTCTTGAATGTTTTGCAGGCTTGGTCGTTCCAGCAGTACTTATTAAAACCCACACCAAGAGCTGTTTTGGGTCCTGGGGCAAATAAATTCTTCTCCCCCTCATTCCTCATCTGGTAAAGCACCTGGGTGGTCCTGCCATGAAACTCCTCTCTCCCCAGTGCCCTCCTCCCTTCCTGCTTTCACTGTTGCTCAGAAAACCTAAATATGGAGTAGCAGTGGCTGCCAAGAAGTGAGAGAGACTGAGCCAAGCAGAGGAGAGGGCTGCAGCCAGAAGAGCAATTGTGTTCCCCCTGGTCCCAAGAGGGACCTTGGGCAGCTCCCAAGGGGGACCTTGGGCAGCTCCCAAGGGCAGCTGCCCCCCTCCTCATGTGCCATTTAGCCCCACCATGCCTTGCTTCAGCTGGCTCTACACAGCAATGCATTCTCTAGCTGATGTCCTCATATCTTCATTGGCATTTTCACAGTTTGCCTTATATTTTCACTGCACTTGCAGTGGGCCTGAAAATAAGGGCTTGGTCTAATTACAGTGGTTTGATGGCAGGTTGTTGTGTCCATCTGTGTGGAAGTGCAGCACATTTGCTCAAGTTCAGCCAGCACCACTTTGTGGGAGCTGCAGGGAACCCAGTGAACCGCCTGGAGAAATCCCATCACCCTTCTGTGCCCTCCCCACTTTCTCTTTTTGGTAGGGGACTAAATGGTGTGCCTTCTGGTTTATACAAATTTTCCAGAGTGGAATCCCCTCTCTCCTAGAGATTGTGTTCTTGAACTTGAAATTAAATTTTTAAATCTGCAGAGGTCTCTTAGACTGGAAAAAGTTTCATACTGTCACATTTTGGCATGTTGCAAATAATGATTTATGTGACTGAAAAAAAGCCATTTTATTCAACAAGGTTTCATTACACTGTAAAAACACTGATCATGGTGGTGCCATTAGCCCAGTCACACTGGAAAAGCTGGAGAATGGTGCCTGTGGGGGAGAACACTGAAAACATCCTCCTCTTTTTCCTAAAGCATGAAGGGTATGTTGATTTGTTTTTTTTTAAATGAAACTGCCATATTCTACAAAACATAAGCTTCTCCCAGAATAGATGTTAATCTATATCTAATACATGTATAAGGTTAAATATGGCGTAAGAGGCAATAGACATTACTGCAGTTCTCTGGTTCACTGCTTTAAGGGAGAGAAACTTAGCACAAATCTAATTTTACAAGGAAATTGGTGTAAGAATGGATGCAATAGGAGGGATATAATAGAACATGGTATTTAAAAATTCCATGCTCAGATGGATAATACGCACTTCAAAATTACATCTGGCCACCGAGAAATGTGCACTTACTCCAGAGCAACCACTGCTCTTTAATAATCACTAGCCAGAACATTTAATAAATGACAATTTGATTTTTAGTATTAAGGTGACTTTGGTTTGAATATATCTAATGCTGAATGATCTAAAAGAATTTTTTTAAAATAAAACTATGTATTTCTGACTTGAAAGAAGTCAAATACTAGACTTTTCCTGAGCTGCATTAGAATAATCAGCTTTTGAGGATGGTGAAGAAAATACCTTAATACTCAAACAGTATGGCTGAAAAGCAAACATTGATACTTTCTGGAAAGCAGGATATGAAATGAAAGACAAAATAGATTCTATTGCACTCTGTCTCAAGTATTTTTACAAGCCTGACAGAGGGCTGATTTGCTGTTTAAGGCATAAGCTGAAAATCATCACAAAAAGCTCATTTACTTTGCTGAGAACATGAGCATTCAACATAACATGAGAAGAAAAGTTGCTAAATAGTTAAAAGAAAACCATGATGTATTGGGTCCAGGTTGACAAGTAAGTTTGTGTCTGTTGACCTGAACTGGTGCTTTGAGGGTGACTAGATCAAACACAATAGTATAAACCGAGATTTCAAAGAGACACGAAGACCAGTGGAGCCTCAGAGCTACTGCTGTTGGATTCAGTAGCACAGCTCTCATTGATAGAAGGACTGACATGTGCAGGACAATTCCGTAACAAAAGGACCCACCTTTTTGCAAATTTAGGACAGACATTTGCTATGTAGGAGAAGTTTGACTTGCTAGTTGAATTGTTGCAGAGGGATTTGAATTCACTAGCTGAAAAAAAAGATAAAAATATTAAGTTGTTTTGCACGCTCTGACAGATTAAGGGTAATCTTTTGAAAAGCTCCTACATCTTATTTTCAGGAGAGTCACCGAGGTGTTTAAAGGGGCTTTGGATCAGTGCCTCAGTTAACTGGTGTCTGATTTTCCCTGTCATTTCCTCCAACAGAGTCCTATGGCAGCCTGCAAGCTGTCTTGCTGTTCCTTGAGGAATCACTTTCTGACTCACATCTTAGCAGCTGTGCATAATGGAGGATTGTACTGTGCACTCGAGGGACTAAACTGGGGTATTTTCCTGCTAGTCTCTGAGAGTAGTACCAAATCAGTATGGTCTACAGCAGGTCCTCTTGGCCCACATGAGCTACCAGGTGTCTGTAAGTACTGATGTTGGAGTAGATGTTTCTGCAGTGTGTCAACCCTGTTGTGCTGTTGCATGAAACACTGTGAACTCTGGGTTAACAATGAAGTTATGACACTGCTCTGTCTCTGTGCCTTGTCTTACTTACAGTCCCTCTTTTCTTGGCTTGTTTAGGCATCTTCAGAGAAATGCAAAGATATTCCGCTAGAACAACATATCCAATGAAATATATAAAGCAGTTGTTCACAGACTAGCATGCACAAAAGATAGCTAGGAATCACTAAGTTTCAAACTAAGCATTTCTGTGCTCATCACCCTGATGACCGAGTCAACCAAACGATTGCTGCAGCCTGGACCAGTGTTTGCCAGGAAGGCCCTCACAGCTCTCCTAGAAGCCCCACAGCACCAGAGATGTGCCACTCTCTCCATCAATGGCAGTCATGATACACTCAGCCTGGGACTCCTGTCTGGTACCTCACCACACTAATCCTATTCCTGTTTATACTTGTGTTCTCCCTTCTGAATCCTTGAGTTATAGACAATCACACCTAAGCAAGTTCAACCTTTTCTCTCTACAGTCATTCTCACAGCTTTTTCTCAGCAGAACAAGCCAGTGATCAGGGGAAAGCTTTCTGTAGGAGCTACAGACAGACCAGAGTGTAAACCCTATTGCACAGAAAACAGAAACTACTACAATGGAATAATTGCACTAAAAGAGTAGAGTTCCTAATATTTTTACCTTCTTCTACACTATTTCTGCCTGGTACTACACTCTTGGGATTTCTCTTTTTAGTGCTAGCCTTTATTTCGACGGTTGTCCTCAGATGACAAAGACAAATCCTTGTTTCTGTTCATTTGTAAAAGTGTATTGAATGCATATTTTCCAAACAGGGTTGAAATAAGCAGGTAGCAGCTTCCTTGCTCCATATTCTAAGCATTCTTTCCAATTATATTCCCTCTCTGAAGACTTTCCCAAGGTCATACCTACACTTTTTGCTCCTAGCTTTCTGAGTCCTTATACTTCTGTCCCTGTCTGAGCATAACTCAAACCGCACCACCAATCCTGTCTAAAAAACCCTTTCTTGGTCTAAAGTTTACCCCAATTTACTACAGGTCAGCTGACTTGTGGTAATTCCCATGGCTATTGTGATGTAATTCATATTAGCACAGCTGCCAGTGAAAGAGGAGAAATCAACATACAGTAGTAAAAAGTGACTGACCTAAGTCATATTTGCATTAAGGGTTAAAAATACATACCTGGACTGTTACTGGAGATTCATCAAAGCATGTAATTTTTTTAAATCCAAATTAGTTATGCTTTTAGCTACTTATCAGCCTCTGTGTGGAATGGCACTATTCAAAGCTTTAGCTTTACTCTAGATAAGAGTCATAATTTCTTCCACATGCATCCTTTTCATGAATGAAGAGTAGCCATCTTCACCATTTTGCTCTGTCTAAGCTTAACCTATCAGCCTTAGTTACCAGTACTAATAGTACTTACTCAAACAGGAAGACTGAATCAAAGAGGTAATGGCTTCTGTGACTTCTATACAATTTACTGTAGACAGTATCAGTAAAATCAGATCTGCATAAAACATATTAACGCACTTGCTGCTATGTGTTCTGTCAAAATTTTTTCTTGAAGACAGACTTTCTGAAGCAGTCTTTGCATTGAGGATGAAAATGTGATATGCAAGGCCTGCTAAAAGGAATGTAAAAGAATTAATTATATTTGTTGAGAGGAAAGGAATAAACTGAAATAAAAAGCATACCACTGAGGCTTCTCATGACAGGCAATCAGACAGAGAGGCTGAGTCCATCTGAAACTTGTAGGTGCCTCAGGAATTGAGCCAGTGCAATACTCTACAGGTCAGCAGGGGATAATAAGAAAATCTGTCAAAATTGAGAGAAGAGTCAACTTTCTAGACCACAAGTCTGACTGATCTGAGCAGAGTTGAGAGACAATGAGTTCAAAAGGTTAATGCTGCTATGCTTATTTAAGCGAACGTTAACATTGTCGTGAGAAAACAGATGGAGAAGAACTGGGGGAATTATTTAGGTTTATAAAACAGTGAGCAGAACGACAGACATCTTATGCATAGAAGCTTGTCACAGTGAAAGTGTAAGCTGAGGTCTTCTTTCTCTTCTGCTTACAAGTAGTTTGGTTTAATGGCCTTCCAATCATCACAATTATGTGCTCCTATTTAAGAAATCAGTGGGGAAACATCTGGGTTTTACATAACATTCACCATCATGTCTTTCGTCAGATAAATTAACAGCTTTGTTTTGCAGTGGCTGTAGAAAGAGACAAAAACATTGGAGCACAATGATACTTACCATTTTTCTGTCAAGATGGAGTCACTATTAGGGATGCTGCTATCAGTGATGATCAATGTGAAGCAGACATATTTACTGGGAGTCTGTTCGAACACAATACAAGGGAACAAATAGCAAGGTGGGGCCATTTTGTGGATAGATTACAACCTATTGCTCATGACCTGCCTTTATTACATCTCTTTCTTTCCATCTGAAGAGAATAGAAACCCAAATAACAGTAGTTTCTGTTGCTCTGATGACAGCTTGAGAAAAAGTAATAAAGAATTCCTACAGCTATAAAAACAGAGTGAGGAAAGGGTGCCAAGTTACCCTTGGAGCTGTCACTCTTTGCAAGGCTCTTTTCTTTTCACTTGCTTTTGTATAATATTTTATGGCTAAACAGCTATTTTTATAGCCAGATGAGGACATAACTCATCCTTTGAGAAGTCTTGGAGAATTGGCGAAATTTCTGGTAGAACTTCATATGGCAAGTCTTATTTCTCATCTGCTTAGATACTGTGTGTCTTGAATTTTCAGGCATCTGAAATTATGGATTACCTCATACTTATTGGACCTACTGTTTGGGCTTGAGCTATGTCCAATTTGAACAAACAATGAATCCCAAAAAGTGTTTTTACATTTTTTTTACAATAATTTGTCTTCAAAAAACAAGGCAATACTACTACACCGAATTGCAGTACATGAATACATGAATTGGTTTTGAAAGCAGTACCGTTTCATATTCTTAGTTTTTTTACATGGTATTTTAACATTTTGTTTTCTTTTCCGTAATGCAGAAAAAACCCAGAACTGGATGAATATTGAACAACAGTATTCATGAACATTCACAGGGATTTGAAATGACTGTTTGATCTCTCCATATCAAGGCCTCTTGTTATCTGCTGCTCCTGCGGTTTCAGACAGAAAGTTTTTTGTTCCTGAGGAGGTTTGAGGAATGGCTGATTTGTGTGAATACCCGTATTTGCATGCGAACGAGGCTATTGCTTTACAAACAAGAGCGTTCATTATTCCTCTGTTTAAAAGGATACACTAACCCAATTAGTGAGCTGGAAGAATATCCCGTGATTTAGCTAACCAATAAAATGCTTCAAGTAGGAGGCAGTGAATACTTAAACTGTGCAGTATCTAAATCCCCATGTTGGCATTTCCAAAACCTTTGAAAGTTGAACCTTCTCTTTAAGAAAATAAGAACAATTGCACTCTTCACCCGTCCCATGTGTTATTAAAACACACCAAAGAGAACAGCCCTCAGAGAAGTCTGTGTGGATCTGCGTGTTTCAGATGCTTCTCCTCCTTCCAAAACATGCTTTGAACAGTGTAGAAAGTAACTTAATGTTGATGCTTAAAAACAACTTAGCTAACTGTTCTTGAAACAAAGAGGAGCATCACACCTCTACAGCACTGCTTCAAGCTTTCTGCAGATTCAGGTAGGTATCTGTTACACTCAAGCAACATTTACGGCATAGTCTATGAAAGAAAAGCTGAAGGACTGAGAGTGTACCTCTGCGTATTTCCTCATGTTCTGATTATAGTCAAATGAAGTCCACCTTTTCTGATGCTGACAAAAATTAGTCTACTCACCTAACTTGTGCAAATGTTAATTTCAGAGAGTAGGTACGTTAAAAAAAAAAAAAAAAAAACAAAACAAAAAACAAGCAAACAAACAAAAAAACCCCAAGAGGAGTCAACGCTATTCGCAAATGATTCTCACACAGAAAAAAGGTATTTGCCATGAATATTACTGAGGGTGAATAATCCATCCATCTGTGCTAAGTAGCATCAGAAAAAAAAGGAGTTCCTAAGTTATTTCTCGCTAAGCTATATTACATATAAGGAGGTTTATGTGATTTAGGTAAGATCTGGAAAAGTATCAAAACTTCTGAATTTATACTCAAGTTTCCACACCTCTGGGTTCAGGGTAAAAGGTAAGATTTACAGACTCTGGCAGAAAATGAAAAAGCTTCCTAATAATCATCAGTACTCCCAACCCTTTCCACAGATGCTATTTACCTCCACCTCCTCTTCTTTTTCTTCTTTTTTTCCTTTTTTTGTTTTTTACTCTAGGGGTTTATTTTTCCCTGCTCCTCCTAACCCCTAGGATATTTAATTAATTTTCTAAATTATCCTCTTTTTATCTCAGGTTCTTTAATAACTGTTGCTTCTTTACCACACACTATTCACTTTATCTTATCATGTGGCTTCTTACATCTACTCTGCAGATGCGTTTTCAGGGCTTTTTACAGCTCTGCCCCAGCACCTCATCTTTCATCACCCCACCTCTTTGTTCCTCTTTATAGTGCCTCCTCTTCATACCTTGTTGCCGGAGCTGAAACCATGACATTTCCACACTGTTCCCTGGGCCTAGGAGAAAAGCAAATATAAAACAGTTGAATTCCAGGAGATGATGTTGGCATGAGAATGTATACAGGCACTGTATTAAAGCACTGGTAAAACAAGACCTCCGTGTTAGCTACAGAAATGCAACACATAGGCCTCGTTTAAGATAGGATTATACTCTGTCTCTAGAATTTGAACTTTTGATTTTTTGGCATTGACTTCTATCTTTGACCAGTATTTGCCTTGGGTTTAAATCAGAGAAACTTCATGTATCTTATCTTATTTTGATGACAAAATGACCTGTCTTAACATGGTGAAAAATTCAATGAATAGTAGAAAATCTTCCTGGTTTTAGAAGCTACCTACCAAAATCTGAGGACTAGCTGCAAGATGGACACCACATAGCTCAGAGAAACAGAAAAAAAGTATCTCTAAGTTTGTTTAATAGAGGAGAAAAAAAATAATAGAGGTTCCACATATCATTGTGTTGCTGGGTTCTGTGATGTTGTCCCCAGAAGTCCCTCCTGGCTTGCTTTCTTCCACAGCCCATGATATGATCACTCAGTTGTCCTGAAGCATCCCTGGTTGCTTGCAGTCAAATGATATAACTTGGAATTAAGGTTGAATACCCTTCTTAGGACAAACAGAAAAGGATGGCTATTAGGAAGCAAATAACCTGATCTTTCCTCTTCCTTGCATTCTCTTATCTTCTCTCTTCATTCTTTTTTAAAATAGCCAGAGCTCATAAGCATAGTATATTTGCTTTAAATGACTTATACTGTTTGCATGTATTCCACAATTCCTTCTTTGTCTGACTAGTTTTAGGTTCTCTGCTGAAATAATGTACCTGCATAATTTTCAGGTCAGTCTTGTCTTTAGCTCCAAAAAATGCCTTTCAAGTGGCTTTACTTAATAAACTTTAGTGATAAATAATATAGTGTATGAAGTAGTTATATATCCAGCTTTTCATAGTGTCCCTCTACCTTTCAATCTATTAAATGAAGTGAGGAGTTTAAGATTTATAAGCTAACCACAAACAGTCATTCAGTTGTTAAAGTAGTGCACCAAGCTGCTGTGCTCTTCTAGCTTCATTTGTTCAACTTGCTTTCTCAAAAACACACAAAAGATTCCTGTTGCTTCATGATCCCATCCCTCTGAGTCAAAGTGGGATCAAGAAGGGAGCATTGGCCAATTTCTCTCCAGCCCTCAAAGTGTCCAGACAAGAAGGAAAAGCTTGTTTTCTATCATTTCTTGAGCTTTGAAAAAAGGCTTAAAATCTCCCCTTCCTCATCTTTGATTAGAGTGAGGTTGCTTGAGGACTTCAGCCAGCCCAAACATGACATTTGAGAGCAAATTGTTTACACTTTTTTCTCCTTCCCCTCCTAGGTCTTCTGGAAGTTTTGGAAAAGTTAACATGACTTATGAAAGTCTGTCCCAGCATATTGGAAGACACTTGTGTATGTCACTTATACCTTCCTTCTGTGAACTGCCAGAACTGCAGAGTAAAATAGCAGGATAGGATTGCCTTGCTGAAGATTGTTCCACTCTTCTCTGTAAATGTTTATGTAAATTCCTGTGTAAGCTATTTCAGCTATTGAATGGACAAGGCTGTGTGTAGTCACTGTAAAACTCCTTTGCCAGTAAAGGAGAAGGATTCTGAGATGCCTTTCTGCGCCTTCCAGTCTTTTTGTATCTTTTCTGTACTTCTCCCAGCTACAGCACGGATCTGTACCTGTCCCTTTTGCACACTCCAAGTTCAAGGATTTCAGGCTGAGAGAAATATTTCTTCCCTCGGCATCAGCGTTTCCACAATAAAGTGGCTCTTGTAAACCAAATGGAGGTTTTTGGCTGAGGGAGAATTGCGTTCCCCTTCTAAAGAAAATGAAGACGTACAAGAAACAGAATCATAGCTCAAATGAATTAGAAAGTTGTATTATTTTGGTCTTAAAAAATCATCAAAATAGCAACAACAGAAATTCCCCAAGTATTCGCTTAATTGAAATCTCTATGTCAACTTTAAATCAGACAACCATCAAGTTATGGAGGACATTGCTACAGGAGTTCAGAAATCCCCAATATTTAGTTCTGTTTATACAAACCTGGGTGTTTCATTTCCTTTACTGGAAAGACACCCAAAATGACCAACTCCCTCCTCTTTGATTTATGATCATATGGAGATAGAGAGTTGTCCTGGTTTCAGCTGGGACAGAGATAATTTTCTTCTTAATAGCTGATGCAGTGCTGTGTTTTGTATTTAGGATGAGAATAATGTTGATAACACAGGGATGTTTTAGCTGCTGCTGAGCAGCACTTGCACAGAGTCAAGGCCTTCTCTGCCTCTCTAGCCATCCCCAGCAAATAGCTGGGGATGTGCAAGCAGTTGGAAGGGGACACAGCTGAGATAGCTGACCTCAACTAACCACAGGGATATCCCATACCGTATGGCATCATGACGAAAAATAAAACTAGAGGGGACTGCCTGGGATGTGGTGGCCCACTGCTTGGTTGGCCTGGGCATTGGATCAGAGCAATTGCATTGTACATCACTTGCTTCATTTATTATTATTATTATTATTATTTCCCTTCCTTTTCTGTACCATTAAACTGTCTTAATCTTGACCTACAAGTTCTACCTTTTTTCTGATTCTCTTCTCCATTCCATTGTGGGTTGTGAGCAAACGGCTTTGTGTTGTTTAGCTGCCTGATGGGTTAAACCACAACAGGGATATAAGAGCAAGTCCTAGTATTTCTTTTGAAACAGCCCTTTTCACTTAATTTCAGTTCACTTACAGCATAACTGGGCACTGCTCCTGACTGAAACCTTAAGGTATTTCTGAAACACTAATAAGTAACTTAATTAACAACAATGAACATTCTCTGAACATTCAGAACTGAAGCATAATGCTAATTTCAACAAAAGAAATTAAATACTGCACTCAATGAAATACTAGCTTTGCTTGCACTATGTTAATAGCAAAACTACTGGCGATGCCAGTGTGGGCAGGACTTTACCCATTTTTCTGATACAGCAAGTTTTCTAACGTTAGTTTAACTTCTAGAGTATTTTTGCCCAAGCTAGAGTTGTTGTTAGTACCTGGAAGATGACCCTAATATGTGTGGAAGCCTTACTGAGGTCCTTGGAAAGTGGGTATTGATGACTTAGTCGAGGGTGATTACATTTTGATCCATGTCCCTAACCCCAAATAAGTACTTTTTGAACAACTGTAACAAAAAGAGCTTAAAGCAATTTACAGCAACAGCAAAAGACTCCACTGGGGAACAGCATGACATCTATCCGCTTTCTGCCACCATTCCCACGGGACCAACTTGAAATGCCTTGGGGGAAGGACAAGCTATTCTGGCTATGCCAGCTGTTCTCCGTAGCATCATTATTCACTGGCACAGCCAAGAGTACTTCTGAAAATGCTCTAACTTGCACAAGGAATTGATTTGTGTGTAGGAGCTTTCAAGACTAGAGAAGTGGGGGGTTGTAGGGGACTGATGGAAAAGTCGTCACTCTAAGGGTCACTGAACGTTTCTCTGACACTACAGGAGTAGTCTTTAATGTAACACTGAAAATTGGATGAAGCATTTTATTTCCACTCTCTTGTATCAATCATTCTTGTTTCCTGTGCAAACACAGACATTTCTGTCATTAGGCTAAAAATAAAACCTTTTGAGAACTCAAGCAACTGGTCTGTCTAGTTCTTTTCATGTAATGTTTTTTCTGGTAGTAGCAATAACAGGATGAGCTAACCATTTCTCAGTGTAATAATCTGGTCTAGTCACTGATATAAACAACTTGCCCTTTGACCTTATAATTTATTCACAGCAGGCCTAGTACAAGACAGCTTAAGTAATAAAAGTATTAATAAATAATTTGCAATTATAGACATTTTCTTTCCTGTGTTAAAGTAAATGTAATAATGACACTAAAATAGAGTCCTGTGGAGATAGGTGTGTGTCTTGCACAGGGCTGACTAAGGTAATATTGTTATCACTGCTGCCTTTCCAAATAAATTTCACCTAAAAACCTTAACATGGTTATGATTCTTTCTCCAGTGCATGAGCCTAGGAAGTCTAAAGTGTTGTGCAAAAGGCATGCCCACGTTTGGGGTAAGTAAATACTTCTTTGCAAATTGGTCATGCTAATAACTAGAATGTATGCACATGGAGGAGATTTAAAACAGTTTGTAAGAGGTTGAGTGTCCACTGTCATTTCCCTCATCCCTCCCTTATTTCCTCTTTATTCAACAAACTCTCATCAAGCCTTTCATTGTCCTCCTCCCCTGCTGACTTAAGGAAGTGTTTTTGAATAGTGCTCTCTGAGTTAATTTTAGGGTTTAGGTCTAAACGGCCCATGTTTCTGTTTCCATCCTGATCAGGAAATACAAAGCCACAGTTCGTATTCATGCTCAGGTTTGCAAAGAACCATTTCCCCAGCACTTATTTTAAATCTTGTTCTTCTGAGAGGAAAAAGCCCTTCCAGTTTGAAATGAAGCCAAATTAGTTTCCCCTTCCTGAAGTATTTCTTGTGTTTCCAGAAAAAAAAAGTGCTGAAAGTCAGGAAAACATTAATCTACATGCAGACCTATACGGATCCTCATGTTTTGTTGAGAAAAATAATGAGACTGCAAAGTTTCTGAACCCTGTCTCATACACATTAGATTCACAAAGGGAATTTTAGTTCTACTGGAAAACTTTTCCCTGAATTGTAGGAATATATTTAGAGGAACTCATTACTATAATGATTTTTATAACATAGAGTGTGACTGTAAAGAACTACCACTTTACTCGTCTAGTCCAGTCATCCTGTGGGATGAGTATTCACTGCATTTTTAAGGGTTGTGCCTTTTATATTATACTCAGGAAGTTGTAGTTAGACTATTTAAAGCAGAAATTGATGTCTAGTGGGAGACTAGGTATGAGACCATGTTTTATGCGGCACAAACCAAAGGCTCATAAGAATTTCTTTTTCACATGCATTACTTCCGTGCAAACGCATTAACAAACTGTGGTGAAATATTCATCATTTATAAATAAACATGACAAATAGTCCCACAGAATATATAAGGGAAGACTGAAACTACATCCAGAAGTAGGGTTTTGCGTCCCACTAACCCAGTGCAGATACAGTCTGCAAGAGGGATCTTGTTGGAGCTGGAGCCCTGGAAGCCCATGTCAGGGTGCATGGGTCAACACCTATAAGCTGGCTGGCAAATGCCAGAGCATGCTCACCTGATCCCTGTAATTTTACCAAGCCAGAGGGAGAAAAATCTGCTCACACCAACTCCATGACTGTTATTTTCTGGGACATGCTAACTTCAGTGGAGTTGCCTGAGCACACTGTGAAAAATCAGGTCTGCTGCTCCCATGAGAGTTGGAATAGGTGACTAATATTCAATAGCTTATACCTCTTGAGGGAACAATTTATGGAATATGGGATATAAGAGATTTATTTGGAAACCATATGGAAATATTTATGTGTTGTATTGATGGGTCTGGGATTAATGTAACAGAACATGATACTCCATATTTGTTGGCTCTTTGCTGTTGAATTGGAGGGTTTACCTTTCTATGGATTCATTCAAAAGTGTTCAGAGGATTTTTTCCAGGACTAGAGTGTGTTAGGGACCATATATTTACAAGAGAAATAGATTTACACACAGCTCAATTGAAAAGGCTGGTTTTCATAAAAAGAGCAAACAACAACAAAGTAAAGACTTGGCCTGGAGTACAGAATATGAAATGGCTTAATCATTTCAGTCATTGTTGTCATGTTCTACTAAAGTAATTTTTCCAGGAACCACTTGTAACTGGTAATTCTGGTAAACAGTTGTCTTATGTTCATGTAGTCTCTTTCCTTGGAAGCACTAGACAGGTGTGATTTGATGCCAGATTAGATCTGACTGTCTGATCTCAGTCTGATTGGTCAGCTTCAGAAGTAATTAAGCACTGTTGGAAGAACCCAAGGAAGAATCCAGTCTATGGTCTCACCCAGAGCCTCTGGAAGTACACTGTGAAAAGCTAGCCCCTTTTCCATGAGCTGGCATCACACACCTCTCTACTGCTTTTTCTGCTTGGGTTTCTATATACCATACCACACAAGTTCCTGCGTGAAACCTCACAGTAGCTTTGCCTGTAGGTAAAAGCAATGTCAGTTTTCCTTGTAGAGATTGCAGCTGAGTTCACTGCAGAAATTTAATAAAGGATGATGATCTGTGAGGCTGCTTCTGTTCTTTGAGCACCTGTAAAAGATGATTAATTGTTCCCCCCCAGAAATATTTAAAAAAAATGTTTTCTCACTTTTATTTTTCCACCTGTCTCCTCTGAAACTACATCTGAACTTAAAATTTGTCACAAAATGTAGGTGGTGGAAATGCCTTGCCTGTTGCCACACAACTGTAGTTTTAGGAAGAGAAAACTGGAAAAGAACTTAGATTGTGAAGTAAAATGTACATACATAATGTACATGTCATAAACCGTATCAGACATTCTCTCTCTAGATTTTTCCTTTATCTTTAATATTACAGAAATTAATATAATCAGATAATATTCTCAAGTACCTTTAATGAGCACAGGAGACAGATAGAAGAGTCAAAGTTGCCAAAATTTCAGCTATATGGAGCCTCAAGGCCACAGGGGCCTAATTTTCCCTGGAATATAAGGAAAAGTTAGTGTGATATTTCCTGAGGGTAGTGTACATGTTGATACATGCTAAGGAGCCCTTTGGTAATGGTGTTATGAGTCTTCTAGGATGACAGATTAGAAAGGTGTTGATTGTTGTTGATGGCCCTAGGCCAATGAGGACTACATGATCAGCATCCCCAGTGAACCTGTACCTTGCACTTCAGCTGTAAAGTACCTGTCTTCTGCTGAGAATTCAGAATAAAGAGGAGGATGCTAAAAATAGCAAAAAACTGTCAGAGAGGGAAGAGAGGAGCAAGTAAAAGGGGCAATGAGTCTTGTAAATGGATAGTGTTTCCTCAAAGTCTAGGTTACTTTGCCACATCTGTGGTGAGCAGCTAATATTCAGGTCTGAGTTTTTCCTGTCAGGAGACTCCATGAAGCAAGCCTAGGTCCTGCTGCTCTAGCAAAAAACAACTCCAAAACCCTAAAAAACATGGAGCTGGTTGTGACCTGGAACAGTGACTCACAAGAGAGGAAGGTACCAATGCTTAGGTAGACATCAGCTGGTGAAGGAATTTGTTGACATTGCATCCCAGCTGCTGCAGATACTTGGCCTTTTAAAATTTGATGGAGGTGCTGTAACACTTAATGTATGCTACATCTCCAAAATTGCTGGTATCTTTTTTTCCTGCAAATAGCAGCACTTGCCCTAAAAGTGGATAAAAGATTCTGTTTTATGAAAATATTTCTGACACATAGCAATCTGGAGACAATTCCAGGAGTGCTATGCTTAGGCAATGAGACTCCTGAGGAGGCTACTATAGCTAATACAACTGTCTGGGGAAGTATTCAAAACGTGTGTCCTAAAATAAACATCTCCTGCTTACACACAAACTTCTCTAGTGCTGCAGTTCTTTCACAGGAACACTGTCTTCTAGGTTTAATCCCTTAAGACTTTAACACATTTTATTGGTGTTAGGGTGGGGATTTTTGTTTGTTATTTGTTTGTTTTTCCTTTTTCTTTCCTGTTTTCCACAGCTTTCCAAGAGCATTGTCTTTGGTCTTACCTTGCATTTTATAACAGAAGCCAGGTGATGTCTATTAATTGTTAACTGGTCATAAATGAACAGGACCTATTAATTGTCTGGGCCTTGCAGAGGCTTCCTACTACTAGAAGGAGCAAGCTGGCTTGTTACAAGGTTGTTTCCATCTTTATCATGTGTTTGGCTGATTATGACTATATGCTGTAAATATGGTAGGCATATATGCTTATTTCCCCTATGAATCATGGAAGAACACACCTGCACAGTGAATGTGCAGCTATTGGCAATTTTTATGCAAGTGTTCTATTTTCTTCATTAGGACAAGATATAAGTTATGCTGGACTGCATTACACAGGCATTTATCTATGTACAGATGTCTGTCTCTAGGTATTCAATTTTTTTTCAAACTCTTTTGGTAGGTCCCTATTTTGTATAGGACACACTTTAATTCTAAGCCAAAGCATACAATCCTTTAAATACTACTTAAAAGTATCGATGATCCTTGTTTCTCTAGCGATGCTGACTTTACAATTCTTCATTAAATAGATTAACGCATTTCCATCACAATGTTATTCTTACTTTACTGCAAAATTAATTGTGAGTCTATCTTTTCTGTAAATTGAATAAACTGATAAAGGAAAATCAAACTTAGCCTTTATGTTTCTTTTATATTTAAAGGAAAGTACTTTGTATAATTTCTGTTAAGATTTGCAATAAATATTAAATATTCAAATGCTTCTACTGTAAGTGGAGCTCTAGGAAGTCTCTCTCTTTTAGGGAAATCAAGTTTCTCTAAGCCATAGAAGGCTCTAAGACTATTACTGAGTGACTACAGAATCCAGTTATTTCAACTGAATTGCAGCTTTCAGGGTTTGACTTCAACTGTGACTGCATGTTACAAATCATATGGTATGCACAATGCAAGCAAAAAAAAAAATCAGTAACAGTGAGATGGAAAAAAACTTAGAGAAGTAAATTTCTATGAACAAGTTGCTGTTAATAGTGCTATCCAAATTAACTTTCTGAGTGCTACCCTTTCCAGCTATGAAAAAAAATAAAGAAAAAAACCCAAACAACCAAAACTAACGTTCCCAGAAAAATGTCAGTATAAACTCCCCTTATTAACCTGGCTGTCACTAACATTTCCTCCCTGGGTCTCTTTGGCTCTAACCCACTAGAGAATGGTTCCCACTGTAATCATTGGTAGTGAGGAATTAAGCCTCAATGAATCAGGTGAGTTTCAACAGTGTTCTAGCATTTCTGAATGTAAAAGGTCACCAAAATTGCTAATGCTTAATCCAGCCACATCAGTAAGGAAAGAAAAATGTTTTGAAGGAAAGCACTAAAGTATTCAAAAAAACCTCTGACAAGAATAGTAATATTCATAAAGGGAAAATATCAGTTAACTCATTATATAATTCTGTGGTTGAAAATCTTTGATAGAAAATGTCTTTTTTTACTAAATGTAGTCTGTGATTCTGTTATTCATTTGAATTAGTCTTAGCAAGTCTTGTAGTTTTTTTTCCTTGCTTTTAAAATTGATAAAAGAAGATTTATTTGTGAAAACCAGATGTTGGGATTAATTGTTCCATTTAATTAATCAGATATTTAAGGTTTGGTATAACCTAATCTGCAAAGAAAATTTTTTTATCTGTTAAGTTTCCTGATGTAAAATACCTCTTGCACTTTTGTTAACAGTTGTCAGATAAAGGAGGGTAGTTTCTTACCCATGACATTTATAAAATACTAATTTTGCCCTCTTATTTTATATAAAATTCATTTATGTTTACTTAGTACAGAGTTTGTACTCATGTATAATACTAAGTAGAAATAAATAAAACGGGTAAGAAACTTGTTATTCTATCATTTATTCTATAAATTATGTAGAAATGGATCAAACAAGTGAAATGGAAATATTTACTATTGAACATACTTTTAATTTTTTTGTTTAACTCATAAACAACATACTCAAAGAAAAGTAGAAAGGGGAAAGAGAATTGGAAAGGTAGTTGGAAGACAGAATGATTTCTTGGGTCAGATTTTTGTTGTATATATAAAATGTAAATTGAGAAATGCAGGGGCTTATAATGGCTTGAATTCCAGGAGTCTCTCCCTCTTTTTGTTGAGCCCTGTGTGTTTAAGGGACTTGCTGGCTTTTTGTGGTGTCTAGAAGTTGCTAAATGAGTTAAAAAAACTGTAAAAACCTTCCACCAAACCATCTTGCTTATTTGCAAGGATCAAGGAAGGATTTTGTTTGTTTATTTTTCTGAGAGATGGATTGAAAGATTTTGAAAGGCAGTCAGAAGGGTTTGGAGTACTGAGGAGATCCTTGATAGCTGATAGTTCAAGAAAATGCTTCATCAAACAGGGCTGGCAGGCATCTCTTCACTCCTTTGAACCTTCAGTGTTGATAAGGAGGTTTTAAAAGTTGTTATTTGTAGGAAAATTTGATTTTCATGTATCTGATTTATAAATAGGGGATTTTCAGTATGGGGCACATAATAGTAAATAACTGTGTCTTTATTTGAATGAAAGACTAACATCAAATTCATTAAGATCTGCCTCTCAGCAATTTTGTTCACAAATCCAATGAAAAAAAATAATCTCTGGAGTCACTTAGAAAACTGCCAGTAGTGGATTGCACGTGTACGTGTGAAATCAGCAGACTATTCATTGGAACTTTGTAATTAATGATCAAATATTTTGAAAGATCTTGTTAGTAGCAATCCAAGTGGAAATGGAGAAAAAGGTGATGTGTCCGTATTTCACCAGCAAGGCAGATTGTGACTTTACAGAGCATTAAGATGTTTCAAGTTCTAAGTTTTTTCTTGGATGAAGAAAATTACTGAATCCTGGAATACTTCACCGAAGGCTGCTTTTGTCAAACAGAGAAGAAACAAGAGAAGGCTGACCTCTCTCTTTGCTTACAGAAAGTTTTATATTTTCTAGGATTATATATTTAGAACACTTTATACAACAGGCCAGGCATTAACATTATGAAGTCACCAAGTGTACATGTATAGTGCTTCCAGACAACAGCAAGAGGTGGACTAAAGTTTTTTTGGAGACCAAATCAGTAATTGAAAACTGACCTTTCCCTCTCTCACTCCCTTTCCCTCCTAGACAATGGCAGAGGGTCTGAAGGTTGGAGGCAGAAACACCCAAAAGAACTGCTGTTATCTGATAGAAATAACCAGAAAAGATACAATTTTGTCTGGTAACTTACAAACCTAACATACTTAAGTCATTTAGTCACTTACTTCTTCATCACATTCTTATCTCTGTTTTATTATGCTTTATCTTTTTCATAAGCCATTCTGGGTCTAAGTCTGTAACATATTTCCCTTGTTTTAACAAGATAGTTCTTTTTCTGCAAATACCTGCATAGGGCATCTTGTCCTTCTATGTGACAATACTTACAAAAAATTTTTTTTTTTCCTTAGAAGACCATGCTAAATAGATCCATAAAATTTAAGCTGAAGCCTTCTCATCTACTTGCTGAACATATGTATTTAATCTACAAGATGAGCAGAACCTGGGATGTGAATAGCAAAGCAGACTTTGACCTTCATTTTTTTTGTGAGTATGACCTAGAGGACAATTTTTTATCTCTGCACTAAAAGCATATAAAAATGTAAACTGGAATTGGTGCTGTTGATTTGGTTCTGGTATTTGTTTCTTTGCACATCTACTACGGTATCCATGACTTTTGGGATTTTCAGAACGGCATGTTTTTTACTTAAAAAGGTGAGTGTGGGAGAACTGCAGTGAGCTGTGGCTGGTTATTTCCATTATGCTTCGAGGTCTTTGCTGTCACTGAGGTTAAACTGAGAGGTCCAAGTTAGAGCACCTGTCTGTTAAACTTTGCATGACACAAAAAGTATCACTCAACCTGGGAGAAAACCAAAAATTGATTCTAAGAGGGAAAGAAATCCAAATTCAAAGTGAATAACCAATGCTAGGGCAAGGAGAAAAGTAGATATGTAGCTGGTGGCAGTATAGGTAAGAAAGGGCCTTGAACAGATCTGGGTAAAACAATTTTGAGGAAATAGCAGTACCTTTCACCGATAACAGTACAGAAACAAAAGTCTTTGAGGATGGACTGCTTCTGAGATAATGATTGAAGGGAAGGCCTGCCTCAAAGCTGTGAAAGTCCTTTTGTTTTTCAAGCAGTGTGTGATCTTTCAAACCACTACTCTGATGAGTTGGGAAGGACTGACTGCTGAGATTGACTTTACTGGCACTTGGTGAACTCCCACTCCAGGGTTCAGCAGTGAATCTTCCTTCACTATCTCAAGGGCATACCTAATTTACACAATCTGTCTCCTTCTGTACAACTTCCATTGGAGTCAATCGGAGCTGTGTGCCTGAAGTGAAGGGCAGAATTTGGCTCAGAGAGAGTATAACAGCTTCAGTGCTTTGCCAAATGAAATACATTTAGAGTCTGACATGCACAGTTGGACGTGGTAAGTAAAAAATCAGTTTTACTGGATACAAGGCTTCACTGACTAGTGCTACTTCCCTCTTATCATTGTTAAAAGATGTGCTTTATAAGAAAAACGGTGCTAGATCAAACCAGAGACTTATCTTACCTACTGTTCATGGAGTGATACTTTATGTAGCTCCCTAGTTTCCAGTGCTTCGTAGCTAAAGACTTTCTGTGTGAGAGGCTGCATTTTTTATTTAGCTCTGCATCAATTATAATAAAAGTTGTGCCAAGTTTAATTGATTTCTTTGTCACCGTTCCTTGAAACACAATTCTTTTAACTCATTCCAAATAATTTTCCCAAATTCAACAGCAGTAGCAACACTGTTGACTGATAAGATCTATACCTCATTTAAAATAGATATTCAGCTTATCTAGTCACTGCTGAACAACAAGTATTTTACTGCTAAGTCCCGGTATCTTAGCTCACCAGTGTCAGGAACATGGCTTCTAATGTGGCTTTTTCTTGTTAGGTTCCTCTCATAATAAGCTGTTCTGAACTCTTAAATGACTGCCTTGTGCAAGTAGCCTTTTACTCTCTTCTGTCTTTACCACTGTTACATATAGGTAATTCCTACAGGATCATCTCTTCTCATAGTTACAAATTTTAATTGAACAAAATTGTACATATGGATCAGAACTCGGCTATCCACAGACTTTTACATTCTACGGGAGTCTTCCATGGGAACCATTAGTTGCGGCTGTTTGTTCTTCCCTAAAAACACAGTGGCTTACTGCTATTTCCCTAAACAAGTATCTGTAGAAAAAAATACAATGCTTTTCAATGTTAACTACATATCCCTAAAGCGATCTGGGTTTGTTTCTGGGTTGGATTTTTTCAAAGCTTTTGCTGTGTTTTGGTTTTCTCTGTGAGGCTTCTGCTTCTTTTCCTTAGTGGTTTTTATCTTTGCTTGAAAATTTATAGTTCCGTCCTCTGGTGAGAAAATCCAAATGAGAAAACCCCTTCACTAGAAATTATTTTCACTGAAATTACCAATTCATTTAGCCTCCTTAAAACAGCCAGTCTGCACACCAGCAAGGAATCTGGTCTCTTTGACCCAGTAAAATTTAAGACTTCTATTGCTTGTTTCCTTTAAAGCAACAAGGTAAAAAACCTTGTTTTTTAATTATGTAGTAGTTTACAATACTTCTGTGCAGTACAACATACAAGGCCAGATTATTTTTCTTTAAAATTATGTCAGGACTTTGTACAATGTTACCAGGAAGCACTTCTTTTCTAGCTAGATGTTTCAAGGATGGAACTGTCAAAAACTTCAGAGATGCAAAAGAGATTGATATAAAAAATGAAGGTGAAAATGTTTTGGTTAAAACAATGGAAGATATTTGGGATTCTTTTCCCCCTCAACATGTGGATTTTAATAACTACTGTTTGTTGTTAATTACAGAACATACTGCACCTTCTAAAAAACACATCAGAGGAGAATCAAGTTCATTTGTTATATTCCCCTTTGGATATGGTTCCCATATACACAATATTTAGACTAAATCCTGTGACTGCTTTTTTTTCATTGATATCTTAGGGAGGCAGGCTGGAGGGAGTAGAGACTGAATTATGCTCATTAACTAAAATGCCACAGTGTACATGTCTGTGAAGTTAGGTACCTTGAATGGACCAAAGATGTGTAACTCATATGCATTTCTTTGAACACTCAAATTTTAGTATTTGATGCTGAAAGCCTGCTTTTATGTCAGAAAGTTTGCAGAGCCTGGAAGAAGGAAACACCCGTAAGATTAGAACGTTATGTAAGGTAGTGTCTATCGCCCAGGAGGATCTTAAAATATTGTATGCAGCATCTGAAATATTTCCATATAAGATTACATTATATGATGAACAACTATTAGTTAGATGGGCCACAGCTGGTACTTTACAACCTGTACATGTAATAAAGGGAAAGCTACCTATATGGAACAGAAATGAAATAATCAAAAGCCTGTGTTTGAATAACTAAACAGCACAAAGTTATTGCAATCCAAGAATATTTTAATTAATTAGAACCAATCAAAAAACCTTAGGTAAAATATAATTAATTTTATATAAATTTCAAGGGTTCCTGATAGGATAAATCTCTTGTGTGAAATATTTTGGTAATGACTATCATAAAGGAGACTGCTTTAAAGTGTAATAATGTGTTCTGAAAGAGTCTGCTTTTCTGTGTCATTTAGGAGGAAGATGTCATTATACTTGATGGTGTATTCACTGTGCCTGACTCAATTAGCTGTATTTGACCCTGTATGCCAATACTTCCACAGTACCTTCCTGCAACATCACTGTGGTTGTCCTTAAGATATTTTATAGAGATATATTGTTATCTCACTCCTCTTTTTTCTTCTTTTTTTTTTCTTTTTCGTCTCTTGACATGCTGAATATATCAGCAACAGGCTGAACTGACGAAAGTCAGTTTTTATCTGAGATAAAATCTGAGATAGACATCTAAGAGCCTTTTACTTTTGTAAATTTTGCGTGTGGCCACCCACAGGACAGGGTTTTTTTGGTGTGTTTTTGTTTTTGTTTTGTTTTTTTTTTTTTTTTTAATTTATTTATTCTTATTTCTGTCTTCTGACATATTTCCAAAGTTATGACTGTCTGGAATACCAGAATTCCCATTAGTGAGTAAAGTTAGGGAGTATCTGCTAAGATTTGATATGTTCATTTTCCAGAGTTATTACTGAACATGTGTGATGTGAGAACATTGAGATCCTCTGCCATTCATTATAGGTATGTACCTTCATTTAAAATGATTTGTTAAAAATACCATAAAGTTCATTATGTTCAATAGTTAACCATTAACTATGGCTAACTATTCTCATTAATTTTGAAAATGCATGTAATTTATATTGGTATTGAATACACCCTAATGCACGGAAAGGTCTGATTGCACAGTGAAGGAGCAGATTGTCTTTTCCTTAAAGGTGCTTGCCACGAAAATACAAAAGATATGTAAGGTGAGGGCGTATACCAGAAATGAAGGGCTCACCACACAGCAGGAGAGTGGGGATGAGAGAGGTTGAGTCACAGGGAAGGAATGAGTAACAGCCTGTCAGGAAACACCCTGCGAGTTCCAAACATTTTTATTTTGTTTGATAAGGGTTTGGGTAGGTGGAGATCAGTTAAACGGGACAAAGAAAAGGCAGGGAAAGGGAGACAAGGGCATTTCAGGATGTGAAGAAGAGAGGAGGGAGCAGGCATGAGATGAAGATGAGGGTAGAGAAAGGGAGAAGTGTGGGGGCGAGATGAGTTGCAACAATCAGCAGTGAGAATGGATAATTAAAAATCATGGCTGTCTGTCAGACCTTAAGCCTTTTTTACCTTTGCTGTGTCAGCTTCATTGTCAGACTGGATCCTCCCTGTAGTCTCTTTCTCATTCCAGGCTGCTCCTGTCATTGTTTAACACAGTTGTGCATGAACAGTGCATGCAGACTGAAGCCATAAAATTATACAGTGCACTTAATTGAAAGATTGAAAAATTACTTTACAGCGACGGACTACATAATGGTTGACAGTTAGGGACTGATCTTAGACAACTGTACTCAGTGAGTGTAATTTAATGTTGTAACTTTCACATATGAAACCAATGATTTTTCCTTTGGCAGAGGGAAATTGTTCTTACACCACATTAACTTTTAGGGCTGGAAAGGGAACTTCTGCCTTTACCCATCCCTCTTAAAGATTCAGATAGCTAACAAGATTTGTTACTTATGCTTGAGATTAAAAGGCTGAATCTCAAAAATGGTCTATGTCTGTGTTTATTTCCTTAAGTCAAATGATATATTAAATTTCCTTAATATTGAAATGTTTTGCTTGTGTGCTGAGAATTTTTATTTTTTTATTTCAGAAATGATAGTATATAATGGTAAATAAATATTCTGTTGAGAAATCCTAGATCAGCTCCAAGTCTTTCATCACTGCCACCCTTCCTTTCTCAGGGAAACAAAACACAACTAAGGTCCAATTTTATCTTTCCTCCTTGCTCACCATAACTTCTTTGAATAGAGAAGCTTATTTTTACTGAAAAGCTATGTTAAACCAGAAGAGTTTGAAATGGAGGGGCTCTGTGTTCCCTAATTTCTTCAATAAAATATTATGAAAACAGCAAAGTAGATCCAAACAGCATCTAAATTGTTTGAATAGTGACACATATCATGGCTGTATAGGCTGCATGCCTGGTTATTTAAGTTCAGTTACTGGCTGCCAGAATTACACTCAAGGGACCCCAGCATCTTCAATCCATAATCTCATTTTCCAGTCAAAATTCAGAAAAAAATCCACCCTAAAAATACAGGAAACCCAAACAAACCATTCTCTGTATGAAGCCAAGTTTTTTTGCAATTCAATAAATTCAGGCCTTCTATCCATAAGCTCAGCACTTGCATTGTCAGCACTTACTCTTTTAGGGGGAATTAGGAAAACAAAACATCAATGGAAAATCAAGCTGATTTCAATATTGTTCAACAAAGCAGGAATCAGCTGACACTGTAGGAACTTCTTATCCCATTTTCTCTGAACAGCAGGGTAGGAGCATTTCTAGTATTAAGATATTTCATTTTTTCTAAAAATTACACTGAAGACTGCAGTTTGGTGTCATTTATAAATATTTGATTTTCATAATTGTTTCCATAGAATAGGGATACAGAACCCACTAGAATTCCTTATATATTGAATATTCTTACTACTGAAGTCTCACTTTCAGCATGTAGTGTCAAACTTGCATCTCTTGATCACATATGCTGAATCTCTCACAGTGGAATAATTTTTATAATTTATTTTTCAAACAGCTTCTCTCATGGAAGTGCAGCTAATGGCACATTATTTGCAGCCTCTATGCGGTAACACTTCGTTCAAACTAACACCTCTACCCATAGCTCATTAAAGCAGCACTTACCTACCTTCAACACAAAGGGAATAGTTGTAGGATGAGCACTGGGTGTCTGATCTTCTTTTACACAGATTATCCTTTTTTTTGCCCCTGCTCTAGGCATTGCATGAGTGAACTTATTCCTGAAATACTGTAGCAAGAAATCTCTTCTTCTCTCTTATTAAACTGTCAAAAAACACATCTGAGAACCAGATATTTCACTACAGTGTATTAGGAAATTTAGGAGATCATATAGAAATTCTCACAATAAAAAAGTTCAAATGTTCATCTTCTACCAACTTACAAATTACAGTTTCTTGTAAGCATTACTTTTTCAGCTTTGTAGAAGTAAAAACCTTTTCATTAATTAAAAACATGAGTATTAAAAATGAATACATTTACTGTAAAAATATAATTCTGTATCTGATGTAGTGAAATGTGATCATATTGTCAAAAACCCTCCTTTCTTTTTTAACACAAAGTGCTATCTTTGAAGATGTAACTTTGAACATCTCTGGTTTGCTTTTACTTTCCTTTTCCACCCATAGCTTTACAAAACGCAACCATCGAGTCTCAGATAGTGAAGCAGAGTCTCATTTCTGTGGAATGAACAGGTATCTCATTTCGGGAGTCAGGCAACACTTACCAGACATATTGGGTGAGTCTTTTGGGAAGTCTAGTTGGTGATATCAAGCTTGGATCTCAAATAGTTAGATGCTTACTTTGATTAAGGACTTACTCTACCGCCATTAAATAAATAAATTAATACAGATCTTGTTGATGACATAAATACCTAAATAAATTGAAGTCTTCTGCATTATACATACAGATACATGAACTAAGAGTCCTGGTGGGATGAGGCTGGCACAAGGAGGCAGCTACAGAAGGAGGTACACCTCCTTTTCAGGTGCAAACAGTTAAGTAACTGCAGCAGCATCTGTATTCTCGTGACTAATTATTCTGGCTTCCCTCCTGAGTTAAATAACACTCCAAGGAAAACAAGTAGGAAATCTAAATGTCCCATCCTCATTTCTCAGTGAAGTGAATTTCTCAGTGAAGTGAATACTTAGATCTATAGGCTTGCCTGACTGCTATGAGAGGACTCCTTTCTAACTGAACCAGCAGAAAAACTTAGTCCAGTCTCTAGCTGTGCCTGCATTTGTGAGAGAAATCAACCTCCATCCTGGTGATAGAAAGCATCATGAAGGAGAACAGTGAACAATGCTAAGTCATTCACAGTCCTACATTTCTGATACACATTATTATTTAAGTTGTTAGTGCAGTAGTACCTTGGAGCTCCATCTAAGAATTGCCAACAGCTCAAAAATCACTGTATGGGTTGTCACAGACAGCCATAAGAAAACACAACTCATATCCTAAGTACGTTACATTTAAAAAGGATGTCAAATACTGAGAAGACAACTGGGACCTGAAGCCAAGAGAGCTTTGTGATGGTACACATCACAAATCTGTGGCAGAGTCATGAATAGACCACTGTTGCAGCATGTTGACTTGTATTTAATAATATAATTAATTTTTTTACTGTTTGTGTTAGAGATACAGTTATGGTAACAAAAGCACAAAAGCAACTATTACAATACCTATTACTTGGATAGTCATGTGTCTCCTAGAATCTACAGTTGTAATTTGGGTTAGATCTAAAACTGGTGTTAGATACAGCACAGATGAGCATTGTAGTGGACATCTTTTTGGCATCTGAAAGAAAATCAGTGAATACCTTTTTGGCACCTAAAAGAACATCAGGTGCCATTTGAAACCATGAGGTGAATATTTAATCTCCACTTAAAAAAATTAGGAGCAAAGAGTAGAGAATTAATGCCGGTTTTCTCCTTGGGAAGATGTATCAAGTGAAAACCCTTAGGGGTCTCTCCTAGATCATGGATCTTTCAACATAGCCATAATTATCTGGACAGAGAGCAACTAACAGAAAAATGGAGCTTGATAAGAGTCATAAATTATTAAACACAACAAGAAAAAGAAATTTCCTCTCTGTTAGAAGTATCTCACTGAACTGAATGGGCAATTGAGTAGCAAGTTAAAACCAATATAATAAAGCTGAAAATGGTATAGGGAAGGATGACAACAATGATTAAAGGTGTGGAATGACCTCAAAACAACAGGTAACTCAATAGACTAGGACTGTTCAGTTTGAGAAAGAAATTGTTTTAGTGGAATATGAATGATTTCTGGAAAAAATCGTTTGCACAGAAAACTTGTCTTGGAAAACAATTATTTTCTGTTTATACTAATGCAAGAACTAGGGGGAAACAAATAAACCTGGCAGGGGTTATGTTGAAAATGAAAAAAAGAGATTTCCTCCATGGTAGACGAGCTGTGGAACTCTGCACCTGAAGTTATTGTGGATATTGAAAGATTATCTGGGTTCAGGAAAGTGATTAAGCACGTGGAGAAAATTACCAATAGTATTCCACATGAAGTAGTGAATTGTCTCAGGAAGGCTGTCTTTTGCAAGTTTATGGAGGAGGAGAAAGTCAATAACTATATTCTAGTCCTGTTCTGCTGTTGACCAGTTGAATATGATACCACAAAAGATGGATGGTTTTTTTTCCTGCCCCTTTACAGCTGTTTTTAGGATATTATAGGCAAAGAATGGGCACAATTAGGTCTGCCATTATAACTCATAACAGGTCACATGTTGAGTAAGAGATCATCTAAACCAGCCATCCAGTGGTAAAAACCCCATCTGACCTCAGTAGTAGCACAGTGTTTGAGTATGCAGTGGTGCTTTGACTGGGAAGATGATGGACCTTAGCAGGAAACACTCAGAATCAAACAGGGTCAGGTCTCAAAGCATAATTAGTAGGAAGCTCTTATCAGGTAA